TAGAAGCATGGTCGCTTCCGGCACAGGACTAACATCCCACATAGCCGTCATGCTCCCTAACATGCTCAGAAATGCCACTCAAGCTCCTCTGCACCCAGCCACTCCCCTGTCATTTATCCCGCACCATCCCCTGCTGACCACCATCACTTTCCACAGGCTCCTGTGTTTGAGCACTTGGTCCCCAACCTGTGTCATTGCTTTAGAACGTTGTCGAAGCCCAGTGGTTCCCAATTTTCCTAATGCTGTAACCCCTAAATACAGTTCCTCATATTGTGGTGACCCCCAACCATAACATTATTTCATTGCTACTTCATAATTTTTGCTACTGTTATGAATTGTAATGTAAATATCTGATATGTGGAATATCTAATATTCAACCCCAAAAGGGTCACAACCCAGAGGTTGAGAACCGTTGCTTTAAAACTGTTGCTTAGCTGATAGAAGTGAGTCACTGAAGGGCGAGTCTTAAGTTTGATATCTGCTCTCTGCTTCCTGACTACTGACTGAACAAGACCCACCGCCTTATGTCTCTGTCACCACGCTTTCCCATCCTGATGGGCTGTGACTGGTTTGTTTGTTTGTTTGTTTGTGAGACAGAGACTCATGTAACTCTGGCTGGCCTCAAACTCACAGAGATCCGCCTGCGTCTGCCCCCCGAGTGCTGGGATTAGAAGTGTGTGCCACCACCACCCAGCAACAAACCTTCTTTTAAAGTACTTTGCAACAGTATTCAGTAGCAACGAAAGGAAGAGTAATAAATACAATCTGCCTATGCCCTATTGTCTGCTTAGTACCTAATGACACTTTAGCTCATTGGTGTCTTTGAAAGTGTCATCATTGGCGACCCCTACGACCCCCGCTGAGGCAGGAGTTATTACTCAAGATTGTCAGTTTGCCTAAAATGTTTCCCTTCTTATCCAACATAAAGCAGAGCAGCTAGGAGGTCAGCCTCTCTCAAACTCCACAGCACAGATTTTCTTCTCCATCAAAATATCCACTGATATTCCAGCACTCGGGAGGCAGAGGCAGGCGGATCTCGGTGAGTTCGAGGCCAGCCTGGTCTACAAGAGCTAGTTCCAGGACAGGAACCAAAAAAGCTACGGAGAAACCTGTCTCAAAATCAAAAAAAAAAAAAAAAAATCCACCGATAAAATGTGGAGTTGGTGTCACTAGTGTCTCACGCAACCCCATGAAAGCAGAACCTTGACTTTATATGGTGGGCACAGGGGTCATCCCGGGCAAGGAAAATGATGGCCTTTCCACTGCTCTCTGTCCAGCCTCCCTTGCAGCTAGAATATTTGACCCTACTACGGCCAAGAGAACATAACTGAACGTTGCTGTTGAGAAGGAAGGTTACCACAGGAAAGTCTTTGTTTCCTGAAACCAAAAATGTGAAGTTTTTATCTCTCCACACTCACAGAATCCTTCTCTTTCCTGCCTTAAATAGAGATGTGACAGCTGGAGCAATGGAGCCATCTTGTAACCAACCGTCACAGAAAAGCCATCAGAACTTCCTCCGGGTTTGGACCTCATCGTCACTTTACTAAGAAGTAAACCTCTCTTCCCTACCAAGAAGAAGGCTTTGTGAAGGCCAAGTTCATGTGGCGTGTTTTTACTTCTTGAAGAGTGAGCACTGATTATCATCCATATGTTCAGGTTGGTGTTTGTGAGCAGGGAGTTGTCACCCTCAAACGGCAGAAACAACAAGGAACTTGTCTCTCAACATGTGATGCCTCGAGCCACCTTGGGATTCTGCCCGAAAGATGGATATCATCAACCTTGACAGCCATGAGCCAACTAAATCACCCACACACACAAGGGCTGGCAAGGTGACAAACACTTGCCTTGAAAACCTGAGGACCTGGGTTCAATACCTGGATTCAAAGCAGAGTGTGTCCTTGTACTCACAAGCACAACAATCAAAGTTCAAGGTGATATTAAAACAAAAATAGCTGGTGCACACATTTATGTCCTAATGGATAGGGGTTTTGTTGTTGTTTGATTTTTGCTGTTGTTATTTGTTGTTTTTGTTTTTATATTTTTCAGAGTTGCACAGGCTATATTAGGCAAGATCTCCACCGCTGAACCACAATCCAGCCCTCTCTTCCTTTTTAATTTAAGGCACAGTCTCTCTATGTGGCCCAGGCTAGCCTTGGACTCTCCCTCCTCTGGTCCCAGCTTCCCAAGTACTAGGATTACAGGTGTGTACCACCGTGCCCAGCTTGGATAAGTAATTCATAAAGTAACCCTATCAAAACCTGAATCAGAAACCTGGGGTTTGGGGTTATAGTCAGTGGTGGAGCCCTTGTCTAGCTTTTACAAGGTACCGGGATCAGTTCTTGGCACCACCAAGGAAAAATTATACACAGAAGCACACTGTCTGCTTACTAAATGCAGATTCCTGGGCCCTCTCTCCAATTTCAGCTAAATTAGAATGTGCCCACACTTTAGCCAGCACCCCTGTGAGACTTTCAAAAAAGTTCGGGAGGAAAACTCAGTGAATGCAAACATGAAGTCCAGCAGGAGCTTACCCTCCCCAGGGCTCCTTCCCTACTCCCTGGTCCTAGGGACTTAGAAAGTCAAAGCTGAAATAATTGTTCCAAAACAGTCACTGGGCAATATGGATCAAGTGACTGGTGTGTCCCGTGGTACCCTCAGAAGAAAGATGTGTTCCCTATTGTGCTGGCTGGTTTTATGTCATCTTGACACAAGCTAGAGTAATCTGGAAGGCAGGAACCTCACCTGAGAAAATGCCTCCATTACATCCAGCTGCTGGGCATTTTCTTGATAAGTGATCAATGTAGGAGGGCCCCGCCTGTTACGGGTGGTGTCATCCCTAAGCTGGTGAAAGCAGGCTGAGCAAACCATGAAGGAACGCCAGTAAGCAACTCCCTCCATGGCCTCTGCACCAGCTCCTGCCTCCAGGTTCCTGCCCTGACTTCTTTTGCTGATAAACTATGATGTGGAGGCATAAGTAGAATAAACCCTTTCATAGCCAACTTGCCTTGGTCATATTACTATCATAGCGGCAGTAACCCTGACTAAGACGCCTGTGATTCCAACTTCTTGACCAGTGCTCCTGTCCTCCAGTTTCAAATGTAAACCACCTTGCAGAGAGACAACACAGAACCAAGTACCCACTCTTGTTTTGTGTGTTTGCACAGTGTTGGGAATTGAACCCAGGGCCTTGGCATGCCACAAAAGCACTGGACCACTGAGCTACACCCCAGCCAGAGTGCCCAGCTGTGTCAGTCACTACTCTCCAGGGAATCATCAGAGGACGGAATAGAAGGGAACCTGTAAGAAACTTAAACTGCAATGATGATCCCAGTATGGTGGGTTCTTTTAGAGGAGACGTGGTGGTGGCCTTCAGGGGTTATCCATATAAGCTTTCCCAGGTATAGCTCTGAACCAATCTACTGTGGGCCCCCGTGCAGAGACCAGGGCTGGGCTAACACATCCCACACCTTTTCTTCCAGCAGCAAATGTTAACCAAGCCTTCTCTCGCTCTCAAAACCCTGAGAAAGGCGACGCCTGTGCCTCCCAACACACATGCCACATGGCTGTTTATCTGATTACATCTCTGGGATCTTGTTACCGCCTGACAGGTGAGCACAGACATATATCCTAGGGTGGCAAGCGCTGTATTAAAATCTACATGCACAAACTCCTCTTTCCAAATGATAACCTCCTGCGTATTGATTACCTCCCCAAATTTAAAACCCCACTGGAGAAATAAAAGTGAATCAGAGAGGTGCATTAAGATGACCCGCCAGCCAAGACTTCAGGCTTCAAGAACTCACAAGCCAGAGACCAACCAAACCACTAAGCTCCATGATACATGGCCACACCACTAAAAGGGAAACCCTCCTTTGCTCTGATCTCCATGGCCACCACCCCCTGGCAAATGCCAGCTAGTGGGAATTCCCAAATTAAATAAAAAATTGTGGACAGCTGGGCCGTTTTGTGGGAAGGACGGTGAGGGGGCTGGATCTGTCTGACATTCTGAACAAGGTGGATACCCAAAGATTTCAGAACACCAGGCCTTTCCCATAACCCTGAAAGTTTCCTCTGAGAAAACAGCCTTCGAAAGAAAGTAGTTCCTTCCACCTCTTTGTGGTGACTTTGTAGCCATCCCTGTCACTGTCTCTCAGCAAACTGCTTCCAACTCCACTCAAGTTCTTTTGGAGAGATGCTATTAAGAGCCAAACACAGCTCCTCCCCCTGGCCCCCCATCCACCAAGTCTCACCAAGACAACTCAAGAGGATTTCCCCCACGCCACCTAGTGCAAGAACCACCCAGGCAACCGTAATATTGTTTCTTTGTACACATTTTGGGCCTGCATTCACCCCCTTACATCAAATGACTGTGTCAGAAACGGGTAGTTCCCTGGGGACTTTTTGTCATGCATCTTATGTATATGGGGGGTGATGGGTGAGATACAGAGCAAAGGGTCGAATCTTTCCTTTCAGGCAGCCCCATCAAACCAGTCAAAACCACCTTTGACCACCTGCAGAACGCACAAGGTCACGTGGGTTCCCTGCAGCCCCTACTGTGCCGTCAGCACACAAGCCCTCCCGCCCCGTGGCATATAAACAAATCCCCAAACACAAAAAAAGGAAAGAAGAAAAAGAAAAAGAAAGAAAAGAAAAAAGAAAAGAAGAAAGAAAAAAGAAAAGAATAATAAAGTAAAACTCCCTCCTCTCACAGGAAAGAATGATCATGGCAACAGCTACAACCCATAATAATAAATACGGAACAGCAATTATTACTGCTACCACCGCCACCCGGCCGAGCACAGACAACAGCCGCACTGGGAAGGGACATTCGTGCTGGCTTTACCAGGTGATAAATCATAGCGCATCATTGGTGCCCACCTGCTTCACCCTTCCCCTCCCCAGGCCCTCCCTCCGCAAACAGAACCCCAAAGGGATGGGGTAGGACTGAAGAAGGGGAAAGGAAGGCAGGATTGCCCCCCCCCATCCCAGGCAACACCTACCTCCAGGGTCCGGATCTCCTTCTGCGTGAGGTCGTTGGAAGCTGCACACTTCGTCCTAAGCCCTTCCAGATTGGAGATGCTCAGGTCTATCATGTTCTGAACCAGCTCGCACTGCTGCAAGGCTTTTTGCAAACTCAGAGGTTGCTGTTCTTCGCTTTTCGTCATGTTTTCCTCATCCATCGCTTGCTCTGCAACCCCCCTTCCCCTCCTCCTACTCCTCCACCTCCTCCCAGAAAGAAAAAAGGGGGAGGGAGGGAGTGGAGGTAGAGGGAGTCCACCCCCCTACGCCTCTCCAACCACTGCGACTTCTCAGCAGTGTCTCCTGAAGAAACCCAACATCTCACACAAGCTTGAGGGGGTGGGGGTTGGAGGAGGGGACAAGAGCCAAAATTTATTATTATTTTTTGGGGGGGAGTATCAGGCAGTCTGCATTAGAATCTCTCCTCTCTCTTTCTCTGTGTCTCTGGTCCCTAAAAAGGGAGAGATGCCCGTTTGTCAGAAGCCAACCAGGTGGTAGGGTGCAGTCTGTACTCTTAGGAGGAGGAGAAAGAGAAGGAGGGAGAGGAGGAGGAAGGGGAGGAGGAGTGGAAGGAGGAGGCAGAGGGAAATAGAGCTCACGCTTCGCACACCGGCTCCGTGAAGGGCGGACTTATATGTATATAAATCTTTTTGACCGGCTGGATTTTATGTCAAAAAGGAGCGCGCCTGCCCCGCTCCCGGTCGCGGTGACACGGCATGGTCCGCGGGTCTCCACGCTCAGCGCACTCTCAGGATGCTGTGCGCACGACTGGCGCGGCTGCGGCGCCCACTGCGGCTGGCTGCGGTCTGCTCCCCGCGATAACACTGCTGCTGCTGCTGCCGCCGCTGTCGCCGCTGCTGCTGCTGCCGCTGGGCTCCAGGGGTGAAGGCTCCTGCCTCGCTCCACACCGACATCTTGCCTGTCAATCACAGGGCGGGGTGGAGAGCAGAGCGAGGGATGCAGCGCCGACAGACGCCGTGCGCGCAGCCGGTCCCCGGGTCCCCCCACCCCGGGCGCGCCTGGGACCCGTTGGCGGCAGGCGGCGCGTGCACCTGCCCACCGGGCCACCGTCCAGCCTGGGAGGCCGGGTCCTTAGGGACTGAGGGGCTCGCGTGCGGGAGCGCAGCCGCTACGATGCGGTGGGGGTGGGAAGGGGGGGCGGGCTGGTCCCCTAGGTGGCGGGGAGGCCCGGCCCGGGGGCGGGGAGAGGTACTCGGTGGCCGGGGTGGGGGTGGGGGCCACTACGCCAGCCCTGATCTCGCGAGACGAGGCCATAGCGCGGCTCAGCAGGTGCGCGGGGGCCCGGGAGCAGGTGCGCGCCGGGCTTGCTGGGCTCCGAGTCTGTGCGCCTTGCTTGACTTTGCCGGAGTCTTCTTGTGGCTTGGGCAGGGGACAGGGGTGGGGATGGAGGGCTTAATGGGTTTCCTTGAGTTGGGACGGTTATGGGGACGACGACTACCTGGGCCCGATCTAGCTAGGGTCCATTTGCAGAGAGAGAAGAGGCGTTGTCTTGTTCCCAATTGCTAGCTTGTCCCACAAGGGCCTCTCTGGAGTAACTCCAGCTACCAACCCTACCCTTTGTCAGCCGCCTAGGGTCCTGGAGTAGAAAACACCGATGTACATTTTAAAGACGTTGCAGGCAGGGAAAGATACGTTGTGACAAGAAAGGGGAAGATACAAGAAATTCACATTTCACTCCGCAGCTAATGAAGTTTTACTGGAGTGCCTCTGTTACAGATACGCTTTTATTAATTGATGGGAGGAGGGGCGACACGTGCACCGCAGTGTGCCTATGAGGTCAGAACACAGCTTGTGAAGTCAAGTCTCTCCTTCCACCTTGGGTTCCAGGAATTGAAGTTAGGTATCCGTATACTCGCAAAGTACTCTCCACCAGTTTGTTATAAAGTAATAATAAAGATGTCACCTTTCTTCTTAGCCGCATGTGATGGCGCTCGCACTTTTAACGCCAGCACTAGCAAAGCAGAGGCAGGTGGATCTCTGAGAGTTCAAGTCCATCCGGCTGGTGTATATAGTTAGCTGCAGGTCAGCCAGAGCTACATAGTGAGACCCTGTCTCAAAAGAAGAAGAAGAGGAGGAGGAGGAGGAGGAGGAGGAGGAGGAGGAGGAGGAGGAGGAGGAGGAGAAGAAGAAGAAGAAGAAGAAGAAGAAGAAGAAGAAGAAGAAGAAGATATTATAGTTTGGCTAGAAAGGAATGAAGATGAATTACCCCCAGGAGGTTTCTTTATTAGGAGAATAGCATCCATCAGGATAGCACATGGACAGCTGGAGAGGCTGCAACCTCAAAATTACCACCCACTCATGAATGGTGCATGGCTACTTCTGCCCTGTTGTAAAGCCAATGGTTGCAGCAGAAATGGTGTGGCTCATGGGAGCTAAAATATTTACTCTGTGGCTCATTCCAAGGAGCTATGCCAACTCCTGATTAAATCGGTGTTCTCTATACACACTCTGCCCAGACCACACTTCACCCTAATTCTCTTCTCTTTGACTTTTTTCTTGTCGTTCAGGGTGAAGTCAAATGTCTCAAGGAGGCCTCCCATCTCTGACGGACAGATCCAGTTGTATCCCTAATGAACTGCCCACGGGCTGTGTTTCCAGTAATGAGTAGCCTGGTGTGCCTGTATGTACCTGAAGTCCTAGCCCCTTGGGAGGCTGAGACAGGAGGACTGCTTGAACAAAGGAGTTTGAGGTCAGCCTGGCAACATAGAACAATTACCGTTCCCTCCAGAGAGAGAGAGAGAGAGAGAGAGAGAGAGAACATGTTAGCAAAAGGCATCCTTTTCTCCTGTTTCTGGGATTCTAGAGGGCTCAGCCAACAGCAGTGTGAGATTCAGAACATACGCTAAAGTTGGTCATCCCTAGAGCAAGCCAGCAAGCCACCTGTGGCATGAAGAGAGAGGACACCACTGGTGGCCAAGTTGGATCAAATTGATTTGTAGACTTGGAGCCAGAGGCTTTAGAACTCACACAGAGTTGCATCTGTATGTTCCAAATGTCTGGTGGACTGGGTGTGTGCTTCAGTGGCAGAGCGTTTTACCCAGCATGCCCCGACCCTGGACCCCATCCCCAGCACCACACCTGCAGAACACTCTCTATCCATAATGAGGCCAAACAACCAATTTTAAGCACTACGAAGTCTCCAGAGTCCAGTTCTACCACAAAGTTGTCTCCCTCCTATTTTCTCCATTTTTCTTTGTTTCCCTTGAACTTATTAACATCGGTTACTTTCCTCTGACCCCAGCATCTCTCCACCTTTGAGGAGCTTTCTAGTTACTATGTTTCTCTTTGTTTTTAATGATCTGGTCTTATCAATGAGCCTTGTTGAATTTTGTTTGGTGGCTATGAGACATACATAGAGTCTCTAAATGACTGGCTGGCCCTGAAGAGACATGGGGAATGATCACAGCTCTGTCAGCCAAGCTGGGTGAAGGGTGTGTTTCTGTTTCAATGTGACACCATCGTCCTTGTTCACGAAGTCCCCTCTCTCTGCCCCTATGACCTAACCTCCTAAATATGGCAAGAGTTTGGAAAACTGGTTTGGTTTTTTTTTTTTTCTGGAACTTTCTACGTGGCTTCTCAGCCTTTTGCTCTGTGCTGCATCCAGATCTGCCAGTTATCCCAAGCTAGAAAATGCCATTTTCAGACTAATTTTCTCTTCTACTCCCAAAAGCCCCTTGTTTTGTCCCTATAGATTGCTGAGAGGAGCACCAGTTCTTCAGGTTTCTCTGCCCCACCCCTGCCTCACGCCAACAGTCCATATACTGGTGAAAGTTTATGTTCTCAGCCTTTTTCCTGGCACCCATACCAGCTCACCCACTTAGAATTCTTCTGTCTCCAGAAGCCTGAAATGGGGCCCCTTGGGTCCCAGGGTCTTCTACAGATCTCTTAAGAGAATTTAGTAGGAATCGATAGTGATGGCGGGAGATACTTTGATATTGTTCCAAAATGGCTTCTGTTTGTCATCAAAGATATTTCTACTGAAACTTAGACAACGAAAATAATCATAAGTCATCAGTTGGCAGAGCAGCCGCCAGTGCATCTCTGTCCTGTTTGAAAACAGCCCACATTATGGAAACAACCTCTCTATAGGAGAAACACTCTTTTTTTAAAATTGACTTTTTAAAATTTGTATTAATCTTTATTATATGTATTTATTTATGTGTGTGTGCACAAGTGTGCATATATGTGTTTATGTAAGACAGGGTGGGCACATTTTAGGAGTTCATTCTCTCCTTCTACCATGTGGGTCCCGGGGCTCCAACTCGGGTCCTTAAGCTTGGCTGCAAGCCCCTTCACCCTTGAGCCATCTCGCAGACCCTGAAGTACTCTTCCGGAACCGTTCCGGCCATTGAATACCACGTGATCTGGCTCTGCCATTAGACACAGCATATGGAGGTTTTAGTGGAAAGGAGACAATGGAGAGGAATCAGATGGGAGATGGCACACCTGCTCTCGGATGCCCAGTCCCACGTGACTTGTGATGGCTATGCTGAGGGGCCTGAGGCCATGGTCACAGGTGGCCCTTACAGATGGTGTTAGGCATCACCCTGCCCTCAGAGGCCAAGCTGTCTCTCTAGTCTTCCTGGGAAGTCTTGCTAACCACGCCTTGGTCTGCTCAGGCAGTCCTAAGTACTGGGTGGGGTAGATTCAGTAGAAATCTCCTCCCTCCTCGCCTCCTCCCCTTCAGGGTCTATTGTAGCCTATAGCCTGGAACTTACTACAGAGCAGAGGATAATCTGGAATGTATGACCCCGCCCCCTCTTCCCTTTCAGTGCTGAGATGTAACCTGAGATGGTCCAGGAGTCTGCAGTGGGCTCAAGGTAGGAGTGGATGTCTTCTTCCCTGCCTGCTCCCCATCCCCTGCAGAACTGAGCAGGAAAGGGGCCATCCTTGCTGAGAAGTGATGGGCACAGAGTATCAGCTGCCTCACTGCATCCTGGTGACCCGTGGGCACACAGGGACTCGTTAGCGCCTTAAAGACCTAGGAACCCCATCAGGGTTAAGGCAGGCAGGGATGACCTCCCACACCCCTGCCTCCATTCTTGCTCTGGGAAGCACACCCTCCAGCTCCCAGGGCCCCTCGGTTCAGTCTTTTCAGGATGGTTCAAGCCCAAGTATGCTTTAAAATTGTCACCTGGCCTCTGGGGAACAGGATCAGCTTGTCAGAGAAACTTCTAGATAAGATCTTGATCTTATCATGTATAGGCTGGAGGTTGAGAGTTACAGATGGTCAAGGGACAAGCCTGACCACCTCTCCCCCAGCGAGGAGGCTTACCCTTCCCATCACATTTACAGTTTAGCTGAAATTCTAGGACACCAGAAAAGTGACGCTCTCTACCCCTGCTTGATTGGTGATGAGCTGCCCTCAAGGTTTTCCAGGTCACCCTGGGCTCAGAGACTGGGGAGTGGTAGATTAGGAGGCTAAGGGCCGTCTGTGTGGAGCTACACAGGAGCAACATTGACTTCAGAAACACCGAGCAGCCAAGGATGACCTTGAACTTCTTGGTCCCCTTGCCTCCACTTCCCAAGTGACAGGAGGACAGGTCTGTGCCACCGGTGGTGGTTTATACAGTGCTGGGGGATCGAGGCCAGGCCTCCCTGAAGCTCGGTTCAGAGCCAGACCCCAGCCTCCTCTTAAACGCCTGTGTGCATCTTCCCAGGCTGTTTCTCTTGGTAGTTTTTCTTTTCTTTTCTTTTCTTTTTTCTTTCTTCCTACCAGTTTTTCAGAGGGAATAGCATCAGAACAGCAGCGCCCGAGAGACAACCAAATATCTCGCAGCTGCATGGGGACTGTAATCCTGTTCTAACACATAGAACTCCCCAAATATAAATGACTTTAAAAATCGCTTTGATAAGAGCAAACCAAATGCTCCTCTCTTTAATCTTATAAGGTTTCTCTGACATCGAGGAAAAACACTTTCCTGGAGTCCACCTTTGAGGGTCCTTCGTTTCTACATATTCACTTCCGGAGCAAGTGGATCACTCTGTCCATGTCAGGATCGTCTGGGCTCACGGGAATGGGCCATTTGGCCCAGGGATTTATGCTGGCTTTCTGAGTAAATTATTACTTTGTGGTATACCATGTGTGTTTTCAGTTACAGCACTCAGGATGAAAGAGGGGCCCTCCTGGCCCCCATGGACACACAGCGAAAAGACTTCCTGTCAGCAGTATCAGAGACACAACCTACTTCCACCTCTCTGTCCATGGGCACCGTGTGCACGCAGTGCCCAGGAAGACCAGAAGAGGGCACTGGAGCCCCTAGAGCTGATCACAAGCAGCTGCAAGCCACCATGTGGGTGCTGGGATTTGAATCTGGGTCTTCTGGAAGAGGAGCCAGTACTCCTAACTGCTGGTCCATCTCTCCAGCAGCACAAGTTTTTTTCCTTTCTAATTGATTTATTCTTGGATAATTTTATACATATTACGTATTTGATCACGATCACTCACCTACTACTGTCCCTTATCTTCATTCCACTCCACTCTTACTAAACCCTTTCTTTTCCCAATATACTTCCCTTCTACTTCCAAATCTTTGTGTGTAACCCACACGGAGAGGGTTGTTTGCGTGAGCATGGTGGTGGGGTATTTACTGGACCAAGGGCAACCTACCAGTTACCACTTTAGAAAATACTCTTCCTCCCCAGCAACAGTCAGCTGCCAATAGCATCTCTGGTTGGTGAGAAGGTCTGCTGTGCACTGCTCCCCCCACAATAGGCCCAGTCTTGGACAGGTCTTAAGCAGGTAACCACAGCTGCTATGGGTTCATGTGCACAGGGTCATCTCATACCTGCATCCCTGGCCGTCTTTGGGCTCTTATGCTTTTCCTACCCCCCTTCAATCGATGTTCCTTGAGTCTTAGAGGCAGTGACGCAGATGTCACAACTTGTTCTCAAGATATCGGCTAGCAACGAGTCCCTATTAACTACTGCCCACTATAGATGTTTCTCTGACCAAGACTGGAGACAGCGCTAACCTATAGATAGAAATATTTGAAGTCAGTTATATAGCATGTCCATTTAGCAAAACAACAGTCTGCCTAGGGCTTATAACTTCCCTAGCAATGGGTTTTTGACCAGGTTCCCAGTGCCAGGTCTGAATTTCTTTATGTGGGGCAGACTTCAGGTTTAATCAGAAAGCAATTGTCTACCCGCAAAACAATGGTGCCACTGGAACAGCCGCAGCGTACAGTGTTCGCAGCCGGGTAAAGCTGTTGTGACTTTCCTTCCCGGCAGACCTACCCAACTCTTTCAATAGGATGAAAGCAAGCCAGCAGGGAGGAAGCCTCCAGTTCGGGTCCAGCTTGATGTCTCTGTGTCTGCTACCAGAGTGTGTGATCTATTCAGCTACAGGTCTTGTCATCTAGTTTGAGTGGGAAGCCAAGAACAATGGCACAACCTGTATTGTGGGATAGGGGGATTCTCTGGTTCTCTGGGACTCCACAGCCCACAACTTATAGGGGGTTAACCCATTTCTGGTAATGAGGTTTTTCATTTAATGTCTTCTGCAAGCATCCACTCCTTTTTTAAAAAAATTTTATTAGTTTTTAGAGACAGGGTTTCTCTGTGTAGCCCTGGCTGTCCTGGGACTCGCTTTGTAAACCAGGCTGGCCTTGAACCTACAGAGATACGTCTGCCTCTGCCTCCAGAGTGCTGGGATCAAAGGCTGCAGCCACCACCAACAGGCTCCACCCCCTTGTTAATTCTTCTCAGTGTATCCCAGGAGAAGGGTTTGGAGTTAAATGAAGTCTGTGTTTAGCTTCTTGAGATAGTGTTGACCTGTCTCACAGGATGCTCCATTTCACATCCCCAGCCTGCAACTCCGAGAGCCCAATGCCTTCATACCCCAGCTCATAACTTGTCTTGAATCAAACTATCTTTTTCCTTCCTTCCTTCCTTCCTTTCTTTTTTTTAAAGATTTATTTATTATATATACAACATTCTGCCTCCATGTATGCCCACATGCCAGAAGAAGGCACCAGATCTCATTACAGATGGTTGTGAGCCACCATGTGGTTGCTGGGAATTGAACTCACGACCTCTGGAAGAGCAGTCAGTGCTCTTAACCACTGAGCCATCTCTCCAGCCCCTTCCTTCCTTTCTTCTTTTCTTTTTTTTTTTTAATGTGATGCTAAGGATTGAACCCAGGGCCTCACACATGTTAATCAAGGATTCTACCCACTGAGCTACTGCCCAGTGCTAAGACACGAATTCACTAAACCTCTCAAGTTGGCCTACCACGCTACAGCCCAGGCAGTCCTGAATTTGAGATCCTCCTGCCTCAGCTTCCCAAGTCTCTGTATATCACAGGCCTTCACCGCTAGGCCTGTAATCATTTCATTCATTTGTTGTTTTGATTTGGTTTTCAAGACAGGGTTTCTCTGTGTAGCCCTGGCTGTTCTAGAACTTGCTCTGTAGACCAGGCTGGCTTGGAACTCACAAAGATCCACCTGTTTCTGCCTGCCAAGTGCTGGGATTAAAGGCGTGGTTCACAGACATAGACTCAGACAAACACTCATACACATAAAATAAAAATAAATCTCAAAAAAAAAAATCTTTTTTTTAAAAAAAAACAAGTTGCAAGTTCCAGGACAGGCTCCAAAGCTATACAGAGAAACCCTGTCTCGAAAAAAACAAAGACAAAACAAACCCAAGAAATTGAATTTGGGGCCAGCGAGATAGTTCAGCAGGTGAGGAATTTACCACCAAGCCTGAGCTGAGGACCTGAGTTCAATCCCTGGGACCAGACAGTGAAATGAGAGCCGACTTAGGAAAGGTATCCTCTGAGCTCCTCCTCACAAACTGTAGCTAGCTAGCCCACTTGCCCACTCAAGCTAAATTACTAAATGGAATACAAAGTTTATAAAAAGAATCTAAATTTGTTTCAAACATTATGAAACTGGACACTTTACAATAAAAACATCTGACCACCCACTGACTTTGTAAACCTGCTTGGGGTGAGCTACGTCTCACCCTGGCCACATTGAGTTTCCTCCCTCCTCCCCCGGGATTGAATTAGTGGCTCATCTCGTGTGATGAACTACCTAAAAGGGGTTGCTTCAGATAGGAAATGATTATTTTGGCTCACGGCTTGAGAGGATGCAAACCATCCGGGTGGGGCAGGCAGGAGCTATGAGAGGTTGGGCAGCAGCAGGGGTGTAGAGTTACACAGCACAGTCACCAAGCAGAGCGATCACCTTCAATGCCTGGCATCAACAACCCACTGCCCTCCGCTGGCGTACACCACATAAAGGCGCCATGACTGCGCAGAACAGCGCCACCATCTGGTGACCCAGTGTTCACGCACCTAAACCTGCCTGCTGCACGCCACAGGCCAGTCCTAGCTAGTATACACGGGACCCCCTCCCTCATTGGTTAGAGCTCCCTGGGCACCTTCCTAATATGCAGAATAGCCAATGTTTGCGCAGAACAATGAGAAGAAAAGCAGGTTATAACGGCATAAAATATACAGTGATTTCCATACCCCGTACCTCTTCTGAGCAGGTAAGGAAATTTGCCCTTTAAGTAGATAGTCACCTTGTCTGAAGTGGGAAATACCTGGGAAGTTTCCAGACTTTCAGAGCCTGGGTTCCCAGCCCTTGACATCCTACTTTTCTTTTGACCTGATGGATATGTGGGTTTCGAGGTGTTTCTTTTGATCTGATGGATATGTGGGTTTCGAGGTGTTTCTTTTGATTTGATGGATATGTGGGTTTCGAGGTGTTTTTGAAAAGCGCCCCTCCTCTTAGATACCAGAGACCAAAGCATGCACCGGTTAAGTCTCTTTCAGTTTTGACTAAAATATCACTTTTCTCATTTTTTCCACAGATTTACTTATTTTAATTTACGTTTACGAGTATATTCTGCCTGTCTGTCTTATCGTGTGCATCCTGGGACTGACGTTGTGGAGCCTTGAGGGACTCCGTGTGTGTGCTGAGAATCGAACCCAGAGCACTAGGGAGGCAGAGGCAGGCGGATCTCTGTGAGCTGGAGGTCAGCCTGGGCTACAGATCGAGTTCCACAACAGGCTCCAAAGCTACAGAGAAAACCTGTCTCGAAAAAACAATAATAAATAAATAAATATTGGGGGAAGAGACAGTGGCTTCATATCAAAAGTGTCTTATAAGACCCCGCTTACCCCATCTGTACCTAGCTGCTGTGAATCATTGTATCTAGGAAACAATTTGACACCCAGCATGCATGTCTACCCGTACTGGAAGGCTTTGTCGTTTGTTTTGTTCTTGCTTTTGAGACAGGGTCTCACTCTGTAGACCAGGCTAGCTTTGAACTCACAAATATCTGCCTGCCTGTGCCTCACAAAGACTGGGATTAAAGGCAGACACCACTATTCTCAGCTGGGGCTGGAGTTCTAACAGGTCTGTCATGGAAGTATGTGCTAGGTGCGGATGTTGTCCCCTTATAATCCCAGGAGTGGGGAGGTGGAGGTAAGGGGGACCCCGAAGTCCTCTGGCCAGCCAGCCTAGCCTAATCCGTGAGCTCCAGGTTAAGCAAGAGACCCTGTCTCAAAAGATTTAATGGAGAGTAACTGAGAAGACAGCAGCAACACTGACTCCAGTCTTCACACACAAACATCGCTACAAAATGAAAACCTGTCTCAAAAGAAAACAAGGAGAGCTTGATAGTCCTCCTGAACTCTGTCTGACTCTGCAGTACCCTTCAATGGTTCTATTAGGGCTGTCTTGCTAGGACACTCCCAAGGGCAACCCTCAGGGTGCACAGCTGGGTAAGAGAACACTTTTCTCCTCTGGGATCACACATAAGCTGCCAGCCCTGTGGAAGCTAGCCAGTAGGGATGACTTTTGTTAAGTTTTGTTCCACTTGATTCCTCCATCCCCTTCTATCATGATGTCATACGCCTCCCAGCCGACCCCAATCCATGGAAATGAACGGCCGTGGACTCAAACTCTAAAAGCAGGAACCAGAAGAAATGTGTCCTCTCTTCAGGTATCTTGTCAGAGCAATGGAAAGCTGCCACCCTGGCACTCTGGAACATCACAGCAGTGAGCTGTGCTTACACCTCAGGAAGAGCCGCTCATCCCCACGCTAGTGAGTGGAAAGGAGGGGCACGTTGAGGTGACTACTTGGCATTGTAGACTACACCTTCACCCTTGTAGAAAGAAACCAGAGAGCCTTATCCACATAAGGAGCACAATGAAGTTGCTCCCCAGCAAAGAGAAAGCCTGCTAGCTACAGTTAGTGTTCTCTAGGCGTAGTGGGGCTTTAATGGCTACCTCTATCGCTTCTGTCCCTGGGAGCACTTTCTCCTGGTGTGGTAATTTTGTGGTTTGTGTGGAGGGTGGGGAACAATAGTCTGCTGGAGTCTCCAGCTCCTCCTTCTCCAGACCCTTCCCCTTCAGATCGACTGCCAAGCCCCCTCACAGAAAGTCACTCTCTAATGACTTGGCCCAGAAAAGTCTAGTCTTTTGAATTCAGCTTGATCTGGCTTCCTGTGTCGGTGGAGAAACCTATTGTCGGGTTCGAAAACCAGTGAAACAGAGCACAGCTGGGTGATTTGCTTGGGTCCAATGCTGCCTTGGGGTCCATTCTCACCCTACTTGTGGTTTTTAAAGAATTAACACGACCTTGATTTTGCCAAGACGATCATGTTGCCTTCTCTACATTTGAGTACAGCCAGCTCTAACCACTGCAGGCCTCCCTGCTGTTTAAGCAGATGAAGCATTTTGAAATAAGCATATATGGAGGTCTAAGTTCTGTGACTTTCCAATCTGCCACATCACCTCCTCAGCACTCTGGAGTTACGCAATAGGAAATGTTTTCAATGTTGCCCTTTTAGGTGTTAATTTTGCAAAATTAATCCACAATTAGAATTTCAAACCACCTGAGCAACAGAAGAAAATGAGAAGTTATGCATCAAAACTAGAAACATATAATTTATTTAGCATTAAGAAGACAATTAGTTAATCGGCACAGACTGAAGATAACCTGTGATCCTGCTCAGGCCGACGTTTGCCAGACTACGACATCCTGAATTGGTTGTTTTGTCCAATGCTCCTTAATAAACAAAACGTGCCAGGTGGTGGTAGCACACACCTTTAATCCCAGCACTTGGGAGGCAGAGGCAGGAGGATCTCTGTGAGTTCGAGGCCAATCTGATCTACAAAGCGAGTTCCAGGACAGCTAGTATTGTCACACAGAGAAACCCTGTTCTCAAGAAATCAAGCAAAACAAAACACTAAGTCTAAAGCAAAGACTAGCATGCTTCACTGTCTTTCTGCTCTGGAAAGAAATGGCTTTTGTTAAGTTTTGTTAAACTATGTACTTGGAGTAATCTTTAAATTTCAGAACTTTCCCAGAACATTATTGTCCAATAATAATAACAAATGTAACAAATATAGTAAGAAATGGGTGAATTATTAATTTTCCACAGTCTGCCACACCTCTCAGATTTGGAAACCATCTACTTCTACTTGTTTACCCTTTAAATGTTTCTTTCTTTTTTTTAAGGGGCTAGAGAGATGACTCAGAGGTCAAGAGCAGCAGCTGCTCTTGCAGAGGACCCAGGTTCAATTCCCAGCACACGCAGGTGGCTCACAAACATCTGTTACTCCAATTCCAAGGAATCTGATGCCCCATTCTAACCTCCACAGACACAGGCACACACATACGTACATGCAGGCAAAACACTCATGTGCATAAAATAAAAGTAAGTAAATTTTTAAAGTTTTAAAAAGAACTTTCTGGAGCCCATTCCCCATGGTGGGATACCTGCTCAGCCTTGATGCGGGGTGGTGGGTGGGGGCTTGGTCCTGCCTCAAGTTAGTATGCCAGACCTTGTTGACTCCCCAAGGAAGGCCTTACCCCCTCCAAGGAGTGGATGGGGAATGGAAAGGGAGAAAGAGGACGAGAGAAAGGGAGGAAGGGAGGGAGGGAGGGAGGGAGGGAGGGAGGGAGAGCTGGGGTCTGGAATATTGGCCACTGGTAGACTGCCCATGCGCCAGGGATGGCCTGCATCTGTGTACTAGTGGGAGGCACTAGTTGGACTCTGTAAATGGAGGCTTCTCTGTCCCACCCTGTCCCCACAGGCGCTTCTAGATAAAAACAGTCTGGACTATAGTTCAGGCTTATTACTAACTAGCTCTTTCATTTTGAATTGGCCCATTTCTATTAATCTATGTATTGCCACATGGCCACGGCATTACCAGCCTACTGGCAACTTGTTTCTTGGGCAGCTGGCTGGTGTTTTCTGCCCCACCCGCCCCAAACTCTACCCTTCAGTTTGACTTTCCCACCCTGCTTTATTCTGCCTTGCTATAGGCTGAAACAGCTTCTTTATTAACCAATGAGAAGAATGCATATTCAGAGCATACAGAGGAAGTGTTTGTTGTCTCACTGCAGGACTTGATGGGTTAAAAAAAGAAGGCACGAAGTAGGAAGGAAGACGGAGTAAAATACTAAGAGTTGGGTGGAGGGGGTATGGGTAGATATGATCAAAACAGATTAAATACATGTATGAAATCCTGAAAGAAGAAAATTTATATACATATTATATATATGAACTTTCTGGGTTTCTTTGGTGGGGGGGATGAAGTCTTAGCTAGGATTACTATTGCTACAATGAAACAGGATGACCAAAAGCAAGTTGGGAAGGGGAGAGGGAAAGGCTTTATTTGTTTTCTCCATCCACATCATAGTTCATCACTGAAGAAAGTCAGGACAGGAACTCAAACAGGGCAGGAACCTGGAGGCAGGAGCTGATGCAGAGGCCATGGAGGGTGCTGCTCACTGACTTGTTCCCCATCGCTTGCTCAGTCTGCTTTCTTATAGAACCCAGGACCAGCAGCCCAGGGGTGGCACCACCCATAATGGGCTGAGACCTCCCCTTTTAATAACTAATTGAAAAGTGCCCTACTGGCTCACCTACAGTGGATCCTAAAGAGGCATTTTTTTTTTACTCTCGCATGTTTTTTGGGGGGGAGGGGAGAAGGTGGAGTTCAAGACAGGGTTTCTCTGTAGCTTTGGAGCCTGTCCTGAAACTAGCTCTTATAGACCAGGCTGGCCTTGAACTCACAGAGATCCACCTGCCTCTGCCTCCCAAGTGCTGGGATTAAAGGCGTGCGCCACCACCACCCAGTCAGGAGGCATCTTCTCAATTGAGGCTTCCTCCTCTCTAATGGTCAGACTTGGTCTCAAGCTGACATAAAACTACCTGCAGAGAGGGTATCCGCAGGTGTATTTGGCTGTGAGAAGAGAATAGATATCAACGTCACAGGAGCCCTCCTCCAGCGCCAAACTCACTTGCGTGTTTGTTTGTTTTTACATAGGGTCTTTCTACATAGCCCTGGCTGCCCTAGAACTCACAATGTAGACCAGGGTGGCCTTGAGCTCACAGAAATACCCACCTGCCTCAGCCCCCTGAGTTCTGGGACTAAAGGTGTATGCTGCCACGTCCTCCTCTCTCACTGTGAGGCAGGGCTCTCACTGGCACCAGGCCTCCCTCAGCAGGCTAGCCTGGCAGGCCAGCCCCCGGGATCCTCCTGCCTCTGCTTCCCCAGTGCTGAAATTATAAGCACCCACGACCTCACACACTTTTTTTCCACATGGTGCTGGGGATCGAACTCAGATCCTCATGTTTACATGACAAGCACTTTACCAACTAAGCTGCCTCCCCAGTCAGATTTTGAAAGAATACAAAAAGCGTATTTTGACTGTTTCTACTTGAAACACAAAGATCTCTTCACGTTGACTGGAAGCAGCCTTCTTTCTCAGTTTTTGCCGCTTACTCATGCTTTAGGGAGCACGGTGTGTGTTTAAAGCATACGTCTAAAAGCTCATCTGCTGAACTTTGGTTAAATGCTTCGAAGGAGTGAGTTTAGGGGGATGAGAGG